TGCTCTTGTTTATTTCCTGTTATCTCCATGGGGAAGTTGAACAGAATTCTTCCTCCGTAAGGAGGAAGATGGGAGGCGACTAAAATGCCGGGAGCAAGGGGCTAGTAACCCTTCTCCTGTATAAATTACTAAATTTAAAAAGATAAACTTTCGTTTTTCTTTTTGGGCCACCCTGCCTTGGTGGGATACGGCTGGTTTGTTAAAAAAAAAAAAATACATGAGTGAGAGGAGTTGGAATTGAGTGGGACTTGCATGTGAGTAAATAGAATTATCAAAGCTTATTTTTTTGGTAGCATTGAAAATTGGGTTGGGCAAATATTCTATTAGTGGGATGGATTGTGAAGGACCTGCCTAGTATGGGCCAACAGGCCTACTGCAGCGTTCCTCCTTTCTTATGTTCTCTCTCTCTGCACAGGTCATTAAGTAATAAGATTTGAAGCTAGAAATGTAAATTTGTAAAGTACAAGAACAAGTATGTGGGAAATAAACATGCAAGTTCTGTAATTTAGGTTATAATATCCGCCACATCCTCTTTGTTTGGCGTGGATGCAGATGCGGATATTTATTTAAACGTGATTGCGGATGTGGATGTCTCATTTAGAAAAGATGCGGATGAGGATGTGAAAAATTGTGTGAATATTCTGCGGATGCGGATATCCAATACACCCTTAGTATATATATGCTTGTACATGCATGTGTAGTGTGACCTAAGTGTAAGTAGAAGTAGCAAGACATACCTGAAATCTTGCATGTTTATGAGACAGAAAAAAGACACCACTAATCCTACCATCATGTAAAACAAATACAGTGGACCCCTGGTTACCGGCCGTAATCCGTTCCTGAAGGTCGGCTGATAACCGAAATGGCCGATAACCGAATTAATATTTCCCATAAGAATTAATGGAAATAAAATTAATTTGTTCCAAACAAAAATATTCACAAAAAAAATTATTTTTTTTACAATTATGTAAGTATTACATACCTTTATTGAAGACTAATGCTGGCTTTTGGAAGATAGGGAGGAGGAAAGAGGGAGGAGTTAGTGTTTGGAAGGGGAATCACCCTCCATGAAGGCTTTAGGTAGCAAAGCCTTCTCTGGAGTTACTTCCTTTCTCTGTCTTTTAATGCCACTAGAACCAGCTTGAGAGTCACTGGACCCCTGTCTCACAAAATAACTGCCCAGAATGCTCTGTTTCTGGCATCTCTTTAAGATTTCCCTGAAGTGGGACAGGGTTTTGCCACTAAACATGTTGCAGATATGGCTTGCTTCAGCTTTGTCAGGGTGGTGTTTCTCTACAAAAGCTTGCACCCTGGTCCACATTGCACACACCTCTTTAATCTCTGAAGAAGGCACCTCCTTCACTCCCTCTTCCTCCTCCTCTGAAGCAAGTTCCTCAGCTGCAATCTGTTGCTGTTCAAGTTGAAGCTCTTGCAGCTCTTCAGTGGTAAGCTCTTTCCTGTGGTCCTCCACCAACTCTTCCACATCCTCACCACTCACCTCCAACCCCAGGGACTTCCCCAAAGACACAATAGAGTCCACAGGGTTGGTGAGTCTCAAACCCATCAAAATCCCTCTCTTGGACACAATCTGTCTACAATTTTCTCCAAGCAGAGTTCAAAGTCCTGGAAGTCACTCCCTCCCAAGCCTTACCTATAAGGCTTATGCAGTGGAGGATAGTGAAGTGATTCCTCCAGAACTCTCTTAGGGTCAGCTGAATATCCAAGGTCACTTCAAAGCACTTTTAAAACACTGCTTTTGTGTAGTTTTTTGAAGTTAGAAATGACCTGCTGGTCCATGGGCTGGAGGAGAGGAGTGGTGTTAGGAGGCAAGAACTTCACTTTTATAAAACTGAAGTCCCTAAACACCTGGTCTTCCAAGTCTGGAGGATGTGCAGGAGCATTGTCCAGTAACAGGAGGCACTTGAGTGGCAATTTCTTTTCCAGGAGGTATTTTTTCACACTTAGGCCAAACACATCATTAACCCACTCTTGGAAAATTTGCCTTGTGACCCATGCCTTATGATTAGCTTTCCACATCACACACAATCTATTCTTCATGACATTGTTTTTCTTAAACACTCTGGGATTTTCTGAGTGATACTTTGAAATCCCCACTAGCATTAGCACAGAACATGAGCGTCACCCTGTCTTTCATAGGCTTGTGTCCTGGCAGTGCCTTTTCCTCCTGGGTAATCTAGGTCCTGTTTGGCATTTTCTTCCAAAGCAGGCCTGTTTCGTCACAATTGAAAACTTGTTGGGGTTTGAATCCTTCAGCTTTTACATAGTCCTGGAATTCATGAACATACTTTTCAGCTGTACATTTGTCAGAACTTGCAGCCTCACCATGCCTTACAACACTGTGTATGCCACTACGCTTCTTAAATCTATCAAACCATCCTTTACTGGCCCTAAATTCACAAACTGCAGCACTTGTTCCAGGCATTTTCTTTGCAAGATCCTCATGCAACTTCTTTGCCTTCTCACAAATAGTAGACTCCACTACACTCTCCCACTAATTCTTTTTCCTTAATCCACAATAATAATAACTTTTCCATCTCTTCCATTATTGGTGTCCTTTGTTTAGTTAGAAAAGCTACTCCTTTTGCAACATTAGCATCTTTGATTTGTTCTTTCTTTGCCAGGATGGATGTAATTGTTGATTTATTCTTGCTGTACATCCTGGCAGGTTCCACCACCTTCATACCACTCTCATATTTTTGTATCACTTCACACTTAAATTCCATGGTGTTTCTCACTTTTTTTACCACAGTAACTTTACTAGGAACTTTCTTTGGAGCCATGGTTACTTATTGCACTGCAAGAAAAACCACTAAAAACAATGGTAAACAAGTGAAATGTTTGGATGTATGAGCAGAAGCTTCCTCAGCCACCGAGAGACAAAGCCAAACTGAAGCGCAAGCTGCCCCAGCCAGCGGATGGACATGTTCAAAACGGCCGATAACCGAGCGCCGATAACTGAGTTGGCCAATAACCAAACCGGCCGATAACCTAGGGTCCACTGTACAGTGGAACCTCTACTTACGAGTTTAATCCATTCCATGACCTTGCTCACATTTGGATTTGCTCATCTGCAGAGTCTAATTTCCTAATTTAAATTAACTGAAATGGAATTAATCCGTTCCAGTGGAATTCCAGGCACAACAAAATACTACTTCAATAATTTCCCTAATATCAACTCTGTGGCTTATTTATCTATCAGAATTTATCTAATATGATATAATAAACAATATTAATAACATAGAAACATGATATATACACTAGAATGAATAAAATACATGTCATTACATATGTGGCTAGTGGTGGTGACAGCGGCCATTGTTGTTGTTGGAGTTTATAGGGCTACCACAGCGGCCATTCCTGCTCCTGATTACATGTGTAGAGAACCTAGGATAACCCAAAAAGTCAAACAGAGTGACTTATAATTGCTACACTCTTAATGCTACACTTAATTGCTACACTCTTAATGGTACACTTTGTCGCTGACTCCTGCTTTAGTATTGTACATATCATAGAAATGGTACGCTGGTACTGCCTGGCCAAGTCCTTAACCCTCCACCTACTTTGCTTATCTCTTATTTCCTGCTTTAATTCAATGGAAATCATCCTCTTTTTCTTCTCAGCACTGTCATTTGCACTTGCTTTCTTAGGACCCATGGTTAGAAACAAGAAATTTCGCAAAGTAACTTCACAAAACGTAAGGAAAATATGAGAATTCCCTCCACCATGAGTGGAATGGACCGAGCGTTGCTTTGATACATACTGCCATCTCATGGTGGTGTTTGGAAACTCACTTAGAGTATAGGGTACAACAAGGTTGCTACCAGGGTACAACAAGGTTGCTACCAGGGTACAAGGTTGCTACCAGGGTGCAACAAGGTTGCTACCAGGGTACAACAAGGTTGCTACCAGGGTACAAGGTTGCTACCAGGGTGCAACAAGGTTGCTACCAGGGTACAACAAGGTTGTTTTCAAGGTACAAGGTCTGCCACTGCTGCTTTATGTTGTCTGTCACTGCTGTTTCATGTTGTCTGCCACTGCTGCTTCATGTTGTTTGCCACTGCTACCTCATGATGTCTGCTCCCAAGTTTGCTAGCATGTTGAAGAGCTTTCCAATATGTGAAGGTTGAGGGGCAGTGCCAATCGGACAGGTGTTGGACGGTGATGTTATTTGTTTACTCTTGAACATCAACAAAGAATCAAACATTTCTGCTACTTTGAGCTCAATTTCAAGATACTTTTCGATGTGAAACCTGTCAAAATCATATCTATTTCTATAGTATATCTTCCATTCTGTAGGTAGTAGGTTGGTAGACAGCAACCACTCAGGGAGGTACTACCATCCTGCCAAGTGAGTGTAAAACAAAAGCCTGTAATTGTTTTACATGGTAGGATTGCTGGTGTCTTTTGTCTGTCTCATAAACATGCAAGATTTCAGGTACGTCTTGCTACTTCTACTTACACTTAGGTCACACTACACATACATGTACAAGCATATATATACACACACCCCTCTGGGTTTCTTCTATTTTGTTTCTAGCTCTTGTTCTTGTTTATTTCCTCTTATCTCCATGGGGAAGTGGAACAGAATTCTTCCTCCGTAAGCCATGCATGTTGTAAGAGGCGACTAAAATGCCGGGAGCAAGGGGCTAGTAACCCCTTCTCCTGTATAAATTACTAAATTTAAAAATAGAAACTTTAGTTTTTCTTTTTGGGCCACCCTGCCTTGGTGGGATACTGTCGGTTTGTTGAAAAAAAAAGAATCTTCCATTCTATTAAATGAGACCAAAAAACGAGAATACAACCATAAAAACCGTATGAAAATATACCGCTAAGGGGAGGCTAATGGCTGAGAAGTGAACTCCGTTATTTATGGTCCAATTTTTTTCACTTTTGGTGTACATTAAGAAGCCTCTTTCCATCATACATTACCCAAGTTTCAATAAGATAGTCCAACAAACAACTGAGATCAAATTCCCTAGATCAAGAGCAAGAGCCCCTCACCAGTTTCAAGGAACCTCCCTTGAAGCCAGCTCACATCTGGAAATTTCGCCTGCGTCTGGAAGCAAAAAATCAACTGAGCGACTGCTTGTATCTGGAAAAACTCGCACGTGGATGCACTCGTAAGTAGAGGTTCCACTGCACAGGTTTCTGTCTGATACTCATTTGGTAGGACAGTAGTATTCCCTGGATAGTTGCTGTCTACCAACCTACTACTAAACTGTCATATCTGAGTGCCTCTGCAAAAACAGTGATTGTATATGAATGATGGTGAAAGTGTTGAATGATGATGAAAGTTTTTTCTTTCTTTTTGGGTCACACTGCCTCAGTGGGAAAAGGCTGATGTGTTAAAAAAAAAAAGTTTGTCTTGGTCATGTTGTAGTATAAATGTACTCGTATTATATAGTAAAATCAATAAACTTGAACTGGGGGGCAGAGGTTCGCTACAAGTGAACTATGCATCACTTAACATTAATTTGATTTTCTCACTCGACACCACTGCTGCTTGTCTTTTCTGAACAGCTTTAGTCTGTGTGGTTTCTGGGGAATCACTAATGTTTTTTTTTGTTTTCAACACTGTGTAATTCTAATGGCACTAGTTTATTTATTGTCCACTTATTCACTACACTTTTGTTTAACCCTTAAACTTTCCAAACGTAGATCTACGTCCATGTGCGGGGGGCTCTGAACGTGGATCTAAGTTTTTTTTACATGCTTTGAAATAGGGAAAATCAAGGTCGGAGCGCTACGCACGTGAACGTAGATCTACATTTGGACAGTTTAAGGGTTAAAACATCATCTGTCCTGATGATTCCATTTGCATCAGGATATATGGTCACAATTTTTCCTAGAGGCTGTTGGGACCTTGGACCATCATTGTCAATAATCACTATGTCACCAGGTCTTAAGGACTTATGATTTTCAGAAAGCTTAACCCTTAAACTGTCCAAACTTAGATCTTCGTTCACCTGCGTAGCGCTCCGAATATTTTGAAAAATAAAAAAATTGTTTTTTTGCTTTTAAATTAAAGAGGGCAATTTTCTGTGTGGTATAAGACCCCCCAAAAATTTTTAGGACCAGTACTTACCGAAATATAAGACCTTGAAGTTGGCTTTGGATGCTCACCTGATGGCAACATTCAGTCCTGCCGCTTGCAGAAGTGTTGCCGATTTACATTTTTTTCTCGTTTTTATTTTAATTTATATAATTTTTATGTTCTGATAATTACAATTTATAATAGCTCTTGTGATTTCATAGCCAATCTTTGTTCTGACACTAATATATGTACTGAAATAGTAATCATATAGTAACAATCACACTGACAGGTGAACATTTTCACCTGCCTTGGTCATTGACTATTGTCTAGAAATATATACAAAGTATTTATAGGTCCCAACAATGTTTTAGACACACTGGAGTATGAAACTCCTTGAAGAATGGTGTTATGACAAGGGTCAGATACGTGACAGCCAGTGACATTTGATGAATGTGAGCTGCTGGAGGGAACCTTGCCTTTATATGTTTTTACTCTTGCACACAAACATGTCTTTGTATGTTTGTCTGCCTGTCTATCTATACATCTGTCTGTGTGTCTGTCTGTACATCTGTCTGTCTAGTTCAGCTTATCTGTCTTTCTATCTTCTGTGTGTGCCTGGAGTATAATATGAAACTCCTTGAAGAATGGTGTTATGACAAGCGTCAGATAACAAGTGACATTTGATGAATGTGTGCTGCTGGATGGGGGAACCTTGCCTTTATATGTTTTTACTCTTGTACACAAACATGTCTTTGTATGTCTGCCTGTCAGTCTATCTGTCTGCCTGTCTGTCTGTCTAGTTCTGCTTGTCTGTCTTTCTATCTGCCTGTGTGTCTGTCTTTCCATCTGCTTGTCTCTGTCTCGGAGCGGCTGGTAAACCTGTTGGTTTGTGGTGTATGGGCCGCTCCCTGATTGCTGAGCAAGTGACACTGCTGTTACTTGCGTCATGTTTATTTATGTCTTATATCTACAAACACTGTATAGCACTTGGCCTGGAATTTTTCGGTTATCCTAGGTAATTTACATTATGTATAATAACTGTATTTATGAGTACATGTGAGAGATAGAGATATAAACAGAGATACAGATAGACAGTGATATAGACATAGAGATATAGATAGACAGAGATATAGATAGACAGAGATATAGATAGAGACAGAGATATAGATAGACAGAGATATAGACAGACAGATACAGATAGAGACAGCCAAAGCTAGCCAGCCAGCCGAATACATAAGAACATAAGAAAGAAGGGACACTGCAGCAGACCTACTGGCAGATGCAAGGTAGGTCCATGTCACCCCCCGGTTTAGACCAATGACCCACCTAGTCAGGTCACATTCACTGAAAGAAGGAGCACTGCATCTGACCTAGTAGCACAAGCTAGTCAGGACCAACTCACAACCACCCACACCCACTCCTGCATTTATCTAATCTATTTTTACTTTCCCCTTAAAATGTGAGTGTTAATATGACATGACATCAGTGAATCACTGGTATTTACCATGCTACTTGCTCTAGCTGACACTCAATTGAACTGGTGCTCCCACAGGGTACTAAGTGGTCCCCGATTTTTTTCATAGTGCACACACTGAGTGCACAGACCCATTCTTTCATGTCTAGGCGAATCAGGCCTATTGCGCCAAATTTGAAGGAATGAAAAATAAAACATTGATATACATTCGGAGTGCTGCGCACGTGCACGTATATCTACATGTGGACAGTTTAAGGGATACAGGAGAAAGGGTTACTAGTCCCTTGCTTCCGGCACGTTAGTTGCCTCTTACGACATGCATGGCTTACGGAGGAAGAATTTTGTTCCACTTCCCCATGGAGATAAGAAGGAATAAACAAGAACAAGAACTAGAAAGAAAATAGAGTAAAAACCCAGAGGGGTGTGTATATATATATGCTTGTACATGCATGTGTAGTGTGACCTAAATGTAAGTAGAAGTAGCGAGATGTACCTAAAATCTTACATGTTTATGAGACAGAAAAAAGAGAGACCAGCAATCCTACCATCGTGTAAAACAAGTACAGGCTTCCATTTTACACTCACTTGGCAGGACAGTAATACCTCCCTGGGTGGTTGTTGTCTACCAACCAACTACATAGGTGTCCATATATAATTATCTCTTCTTATTTCAACAAACCAGCTGTATCCCACCGAGGCAGGGTGACCCAAAAAGAAAGGAAAAACTTTCATCATCATTCAACACTTTCACCATCACTCATACATAATCACTGTCTTTGCAGAGGCACTCAGATACTACAGTTTAGACATCCCTCCATTCTGCCAATATCCCAAACCCCTCCTTTAAAGTGCAGGCATTGTACTTCCCCTTTCCAGGACTCAAAAAAAGAAAAAATTTTGACAATCTTTCCAGTGTAAGGGATTTTTTAAATATCCCATGCAAGGTTTGTAAATACACCAACCATCCGACTTACGACCTGCTCGACTTACGACCACTCGACTTACGACCGTGTTTTTTATGCCAAATTTCTGGGAAATAAACAACTATTTGTGTTGTACACAGTGTTTATCCTAAACCTTACAGTATAAAATACAGTACTAACAACATAAAAAGTAAAGTAAAACATGAAATACCAAAATAAAACAATAAAATAAAGTCATTACAAAAATGTTTTGTTGATATTCAGTAGTAAAGTTCGACTTACGACCATTTCGACTTACGACCGGTTTCTCGGAACCGAACTCGGTCGTAAGTCGGATGGTAGGTGTACCTGTGACATCTGTTGGCAGCACAGTGATTGCTTTCTTAATTGAAGTAAAGAATGAGAACTGTTTTAATTAAATATATCTGAATTTTGGATAAATTATGTAAGAAGTGCACATTAGTAGTATATACAGTGGTACCCCGAGTTTCATACAAAATTCGTTCCAGAAGGCTGTTCAAGTGCTGTTACCGAACAAATTTGTACCCATAAGGAATGATGTAAATTAGATTAGTCCATTTCAGACTCCAAAAAATACACTTACTAAAGGACTTACAATAATACACTTACATAATTGTTCGAGTTGGGAGCTGTACAAAACTCGGGGTAACACTGTAATGTATATTTTTCATACCTAAAATACTTATTTATTTTTGTTTACTTTTTTTTTTTTCTTTTCTTTTCCAGGTCAGAGTCCTCAAAAGTTTATGTACAAAGAGAAACATCAAAAATTTCATCAAAAAAATCCTCTTTAGTCAAAGGTAAGAACTTAAACGCTTTTCTCTGGATAACATACTAAGAGTTCCATGTGCAGAATAAATTTTGTGCACCCTTTGTTTCCACTGAGTCACCAACCCCACCTGCTTTTACATTCTCAATTTTCTAATTCTTAACCTCGTCTAGCAACCTACCAACTACGACACTGTGTCACCATATTGTGATGAGTGTATATTCTCATGCCTGGTAAATTTGGCATTATTTTATGTGAATTATTCATTCCCAGTAGATTGTAGAACTCATATTCATTCCAATATCATATTAGCTTTTTTTTATGTACTCCTCTTTGGTATTGCTCAAGACACAAATTAGACAGCCTGGAAGAATTTTTGCAGTGATGATCATTTCCTTATTATCTTGGCTACCACCTGCTCTTACAACACCCATCCTCATCACTGTTCATGATATGAGTTTGAGTCTGCAGAATGAGAACTCTTACAGAATTATAACATTGCTGTAGTACTTTTAATAAAAAATTAGCCACCTACTATACTTCTTTTGTTTAGTAATTTTATGATGCTGAATTTTTTTGTTTAGTAATTTTATGATGCTGAATTTTTTTTTTTTTTACCTCAGTGGCTATCTCCTGCCAAGGCAGGGTGACCCTAAGGAAACACATTCACCATCATTCATTCAATTCCTGTCTTTCCAGAAGTATGTTGACATCACATTTCGGATTTTTTTTTTTTTAACCCTTAAACTGTCCAAACGTAGATCTGCGTTCACTCACGCAGCGCTCCGAATATTTTGAAAAATAAACAAATCATTTTTTTTTAATGAAGAGTGCATTTTTAGAAATGTTATAGGATAAAAAAAAATTTTAGGGCCAGTACTTACCGAGATATAAGCCCGTAAAGTTCTTGCTAAATGATGAGGTGTTAAGATAAGATAAGATAAGATAAGATTTAGTTCGGATTTTTAACCCCGGAGGGTTAGCCACCCAGGATAACCCAAGAAAGTCAGTGCGTCATCGAGGACTGTCTAACTTATTTCCATTGGGGTCCTTAATCTTGTCCCCCAGGATGCGACCCACACCAGTCGACTAACACCCAGGTACCTATTTGCTGCTAGGTGAACAGGACAACAGGGATCGAACGCCGGGAATCGAACCCGGGCCCTCCGTGTGTGAAGCGGGAGCTTTAACCACCAGGCCACCGGCCACATGGAGTACTGCCGCTTGCAGAAACAGTAAACATTTATCATTTTTTTCCAATTCTTTTCTATTTTTGTTGTTTTCATGTTATGATAATAATGTTTTGTTGCAGATCTTTTGACTTCATTGCCAATTCTTGCTGAGACACAAATATTTGGTACTGAATTAGTAATCACACTGTCACAAACACACACATTCACACTGATAGATGAATTTGTACACCTGGTTCAATCACATACTATTGTTTATATATATATATACAAGGTATTTACAGGTCCCATTTATGTTTCTAAAAGTCCATCACTGTATGATACTCCAAGAAGCATGGATTCATACAGAGTGCCACCCCACATTGCTGACACATGTATCGTGTGTGTTTTCACATTTGAGGTCGCTGTATAGTGTAAGCACACACAACACACTTTTTCTGAGAGTATTAATCTGTTCCTGAGAGCTCATCGTAAGCCGAAATTATCGTAAGGCGAATTAATTTCCCCCATAAGAAATAATGGAAATCAAATTAATCTGTGCAAGACACCCCAAAGTATGAAAAAAAAATTTTTTACCACATGAAATATTAATTTTAATAGACACAAACTGAAGAAGACATGCACAATTACTACTCTACTAAGAATAGAATACATGACACTTACTTTTATTGAAGATCTGGTGATGATTGATGGGATGGGAGGAGGGGAGAGTGTGGGAGTTATTGTTTAGAAGGGGAATCCCCTTCCATTAGGACTTGAGGTAGTAAGTCCTTTTCCGGGGTTACTTCCCTTCTTTTAACCCTTTGAGGGTCGCCAGGCCCTCTCAGAGACTTGGTCTCAGGGTCGCCAGAATTTCGAAAAAAAAAAAAAAATTCTCAGGAAAAGATAGAGAATCTTTTCCCGATCATAATGACACCAAAAGTATGAAATTTGATGAAAAACTTAGGGAATTATGCTCTCGCGAAGTTAGCGGTTTCGACGATGTTTACGCATCGGCGATTTTGCCCACTTTGAGCCCTATTTTCCGCCAGATCCATTGTACTAGTCGACAAAAATCATAACTATTTTGCTAGGACTCCGTTTTTTTCTATCGAATGAGTACAAGAAACCACCCATTACCAATTTCAACTATCCAATAAAGTGGTCAGAATTTAGCAGTTTTGCCAATTTCACACAAATTTCAAAAGATGCCAATTTCCAAATAGGGTCCAGAATAAACAAGAAAGACATTCCTGGCACTAAAATAACATTTCCTCTGTTCATTAGTCACATCCCCATGCCCCTTTTAAATTTCTTTTGCTTTCCACTTTGAATTTTTATTCTCACAAAAAATAGAAAATTTACTGTTATGCAGACTACTGTATTAGTGTAGAAATGGTATAAATAATACCAGCGCACTTGTGAAAGAATATTAGACTCACCAGTTGACGTGTATTGGACGTGTGGCATGATTTGTTTACTTTTGAACTTTGGCAAAAATCGAACATTTCTGCTACTTTGAGCTCAATTTCAAGGTACTTTTCATTGTGAAACCAATCAAAATCATCTTAATTTCTGTAATATGTTATCCATTCTATAAAATAAGACCAGGAAAACTAGAATATATCCATAAATACCATACGAAAATACAGTGCAAAGTCGCTGTTTTAAACCAAAAACACGGTCAAAGTTTTTTTTTCTCATTACGCACTGTGTGCTGCAGGATTTTTTTTATACTGTGCACACTGACCACATAGACCCATTCTTTCATATGTAGGCCTACCAGCTTTCTCTTGCTAGATTTGAGGGCTCTAGAATTTACGCATACTAGTACATCAAAAACCTTGGCGCGTAAGCTGTACTAGTACGGCCGAAACCCCGAAAGGGTTACTGCCACTAGGACCAACTTAAGAGTCACTGGACCTCTGTTGCACAACAAATCTGTCCATAGAGGTCTGTACCTCCCATTCCTTTAAGATTTGCCTAAAATGGGCTGCAACATTGTCATTGTAATAATCACCAGCACGGCTTGCAATAGCTGTGTTAGGATGATTTCATCCATAAAGGTTTGCACTTCAACCCACTTTGCACACATTTCCTTAATCTTTGAAATAGGCACAATGGATTCCACAACTGGCATAGGCTTCTTAGGGTTAGCCCCAAACCCTTCAAAATCTTTCTTAATTTCCATACTAATTCTCACCCTTTTTACCACAAGGTTGGCACTAGAAGCTTTCTTGGGGCCCATGGTGACTTATTTTGCAGTTACAAGCACAAAAACCAATGGGATAAGGTGAAATGTACTGAATGTATGCGTGGATGTGACCACACTGGCTGGTTTGTAAACACTGGCACCCACGGGGCAGCTGAGGCCACACGTGGTATGCATCCCGGACGAATCATGTAAGGCGAGTTTTTTATCGTGAGGCGAGGCAAAATTTTTGCGTTCAAATGCTTCGTATGACGGATTTAACGTAATGCGATGCGTTCGTAAGGTGAGTGTCCACTGTACTTCTTCTTTGGAGTAGATGGTAATGGTACCAGGCAGTGACAGTTAGGGATTATTAGGTCAGGCACTTCCCCCTCTTCTTGTGGAGTGACAGGTCGCTGTTGTGGGGTGACAGGTCGCTGTGGAGTGACAGGTATAGGTGTGGTACCATACTTTTTCGCTATTTGCTTGATAACATTGAGGGTGAATTCTGCATGTCGTTGTTACGTCCCTGTTTTTATTTCATACATGTTGAAGGCATTGAGCATTTCAATGTCTACAAGGTGGAAAAACACTTTTATATACCACTTGCGACTCCTACGCACACAGTCAACAAACCCTATCATCATGTCACACTTGTCAACTAGTCGCATATTGTTCGTATAGTTGATGACAGCAGCTAGCTTTACAACAGGTTCATTATTCTACTTGCTCAGTCTGTCTGTTTGTACCATCTCGTTTCTGTGGATGGTTGACAGTAATGTCACGTCCCGTCTGTCATGCCATGTCAGTGCCATCATGTCATTGGCATGAAATGCTTGCACTAAACTTCCTCCAGTGAACCTTGGCATGTGTTTTCTACTTCTTCTCACTTTCTTTCTTTCTTTCAACACACCGGCCGTATCCCACCGAGGCGGGGTGGCCCAAAAGGAAAAACGAAAGTTTCTTCTTTTACATTTAGTAATATATACAGGAGAAGGGGTTACTAGCCCCTTGCTCCTGGCAGTTTAGTCGCCTCTTACAACACGCATGGCTTACGGAGGAAGAATTCTGTTCCACTTCCCCATGGAGGTAAGAGGAAACAAACAAGAACAAGAACTAGAAAGAAAATAGAAGAAAACCCAGAGGGGTGTGTATATATATGCTTGTACTTGTATGTGTAGTGTGACCTAAGTTTAAGTAGAAGTAGCAAGACGTACCTGAAATCTTTCATGTGTATGAGACAGAAAAAAGAGACACCAGCAATCCTACTATCGTGTAAAACAATTACAGGCTTCCGTTTTACACTCACTTGGCAGGACGGTAGTACCTCCCTGGGTGGTTGCTGTCTACCAACCTACTACCCTTCTTCTCACTGTTCCACATACAGTGGACCCTCGCATAACGCTATTAACCCTTTGACTGTCGAAAGGCCCAATCCTGAAGTGTCTCCTGGTGTCGCAAAATATTCGAAAAAAAAAAATATTTTTTCTTATGAAAATGTTAAGATTATTTTTTTGATTGTTTTAGTCCCCCCAAAAAAATTTTCCCATCAGTACTTACCCAGATATAGAGGCATGAAGTTTGCAGAAAATGAGCCGCGTATGGCAACAGCGGAGACTGCCGCTCACCCAGTAAACTTTAGTTTACTTGTATTTGAAGGTTTGTTGTTTTTTTTTCACTATTTTATTTTTTCACATAACTTATGTGGCCTGTGAGACCAAAGTAAGGTGCAATGTACATATATACACTCGTTGTATACAACACAATAAGCACACAAACATAATTATCAATATATTGTTTACAAAACTTGTTTACAAAAACAAACAATACAAAAAACTGTTTATTACTATTGTTCTATAATATATATACCAATATACAGTCACTGAATATATTCCTAGAAGTTCTGCAGCTTGTGGAACTCTGTGAAACATGGTGTCATACACAGTGGTGTTTTACACTCTTACACATAAAACATGGTGTCATACACAGTGGTGTTTTACACTCTTACACATAAAACATGGTGTCATACACAGTGGTGTTTTACACTCTTACACATAAAACATGGTGTCATACGCAGTGGTGTTTTACACTCTTACACATAAAACATGGTGTCATACACAGTGGTGTTTTACACTCTTACACATAAAACATGGTGTCATACACAGTGGTGTTTTACACTCTTACACATAAAACATGGTGTCATACACAGTGGTGTTTTACACTCTTACACATAAAACATGGTGTCATACACAGTGGTGTTTTACACTCCTCACACATAAAACATGGTGTCATACACAGTGGTGTTTTACACTCACACATAAAACATGGTGTCATACACAGTGGTGTTTTACACTCACACATAAAACATGGTGTCATACACAGTGGTGTTTTACACTCCTCACACATAAAACATGGTGTCATACACAGTGGTGTTTTACACTCTTACACATAAAACATGGTGTCATACACAGTGGTGTTTTACACTCACACATAAAACATGGTGTCATACACAGTGGTGTTTTACACTCTCACACATAAAACATGGTGTCATACACAGTGGTGTTTTACACTCTCACACATAAAACATGGTGTCATACACAGTGGTGTTTTACACTCTTACACATAAAACATGGTGTCATACACAGTGGTGTTTTACACTCTTACACATAAAACATGGTGTCATACACAGTGGTGTTTTACACTCTCACACATAAAACATGGTGTCATACACAGTGGTGTTTTACACTCTCACACATAAAACATGGTGTCATACACAGTGGTGTTTTACACTCCTCACACATAAAACATGGTGTCATACACAGTGGTGTTTTACACTCTTACACATAAAACATGGTGTCATACACAGTGGTGTTTTACACTCTCACACATAAAACATGGTGTCATACACAGTGGTGTTTTACACTCTCACACATAAAACATGGTGTCATACACAGTGGTGTTTTACACTCCTCACACATAAAACATGGTGTCATACACAGTGGTGTTTTACACTCTTACACATAAAACATGGTGTCATACACAGTGGTGTTTTACACTCTTACACATAAAACATGGTGTCATACACAGTGGTGTTTTACACTCTCACACATAAAACATGGTGTCATACACAGTGGTGTTTTACACTCTCACACATAAAACATGGTGTCATACACAGTGGTGTTTTACACTCTTACACGTAAAACATGGTGTCATACACAGTGGTGTTTTACACTCCTCACACATAAAACATTGTGTCATACACAGTGGTGTTTTACACTCTCACACATAAAACATGGTGTCATACACAGTGATGTTTTACACTCCCCACACATAAAACATGGTGTCATACACAGTGGTGTTTTACACTCTTACACATAAAACATGGTGTCATACACAGTGGTGTTTTACACTCTCACACATAAAACATGGTGTCATACACAGTGGTGTTTTACACTCTCACACATAAAACATGGTGTCATACACAGTGGTGTTTTACACTCTTACACATAAAACATGGTGTCATACACAGTGGTGTTTTACACTCTCACACATAAAACATGGTGTCATACACAGTGGTGTTTTACACTCACACATAAAACATGGTGTCATACACAGTGGTGTTTTACACTCTCACACATAAAACATGGTGTCATACACAGTGGTGTTTTACACTCCTCACACATAAAACATGGTGTCATACACAGTGGTGTTTTACACTCCTCACACATAAAACATGGTGTCATACACAGTGGTGTTTTACACTCCTCACACATAAAACATGGTGTCATACACAGTGGTGTTTTACACTCCTCACACATAAAACATGGTGTCATACACAGTGGTGTTTTACACTCCTCACACATAAAACATGGTGTCATACACAATGGTGTTTTACACTCCTCACACATAAAATCAGTGTGTGTGCATTTTTGTGGAAGTTTTTTTTATGTGCAAAGACAAAACGCCTCGTCTGAGCAGTTTTCTTCAAAGTATTAGCAGGCAGTTGTGTTATGTAGTTATCCTAGGTAAATGGTCGTGTGTCATAATTTTTTCCTTCCTAATTTCCTTCATTCCTTTCCTACCTGGAGGCTACCTGGAGGGCATTCCACCTCTCTTCCTACATTCCTTCATCTGTCCTTCCTTACTTTTTTCCTTCCTTTCATCTAGTCCTTCCTTCATTCCTGCCTTCCCTTCTTGCTTCTGGTTTCTATAATATATATACACATATATAGTCACTAGATACTTTCATAAAACTGCTATTATCACCATTCAGCAAGCTTGTCTTGGGTGCGAGTGTGTGGCTTATAATTGTTTTGAGTCAGGAGTCGGCAGCTGTCAAAATGACATACAGTGGACCCTCAACCAGCGATGGCATCGATTAACGATAAATCTGACTAGCGATTCATTTAAACACAAAAATTTTGCCTCAACTAGCGCTTAAAAACCCGACCAGCGCTTTTTGTTCCGTACCATACGCGTCCACTTTGGCCTGACCAAGCCTCACTTGTCCCTTTGGTGCCAGTGTTTACAAGCCAGCCAGCCACCGCGGTCGCTTCCAAACATACAACTGGAACATTTCATATTATCACAGCCTTTTTAGTGATTGCACCTGCAAAATAAGTCACCATGGGCCCCAAGAAAGCTTCTAGTGCCAACCCTACAGCAAAAAGGGTGAGAATTACTATGGAGATGAAGAAAGAGATCATTGATAAATATGAAAGTGGAGTGCGTATCTCTGAGCTGATCAGGTTGTATAATAAACCCCAATCAACCATCGCTACTATTGTGGGCAAGAAAACGGCAATCAAGGAAGCTGTTCTTGCCAAAGGTGCAACTATGTTTTCGAAACTGAGAACGCAAGTGATAGAAGATGTTGAGAGACTTTTATTGGTGTGGACAAACGAGAAACAGATAGCAGGAGACAGCATCTCTCAAGCGATCATATGTGAAAAGGCTAGGAAGTTGCATGAAGATTTAATTAAAAAAATGCCAGCAACTAGTGATGTGAGTGAATTTAAGGCCAGCAAAGGTTGGTTTGAGAGATTTAAGAAGCGTAGTGGCATTCATAGTGTGATAAGGCATGGTGAGGTTGCCAGTTCGGACCACAAAGCGGCTGAAAAATATGTGCAGGAATTCAAGGAGTACATTTCCACTCACAATCAGATGGTGCAGGGTGGACCTGTGGCATGGGGCATGGGGGGGCAGGAGAGGGGGGCGGGAGTGGAGGTAGCACATGGTTGAGAGGGTGCCGGACGGTCCTTTGTCTGCCCACCCACTGCTCCACAAGGCCCAGGCACCATGCCACCAACCTCATCTTCCTCCATCCCAGCATACTCACCTTCATGATCACTATCACTAGCTGGGGTTTTGGATCGTGACCTGCCACGACCCTTGCCACCGACTACATATGGCACACTGCCTGAAAGTAGGTTATGACGCCTAAAAGTATGTGTCACTGGGGAATAATGATAATCACTGTCACTTGACGAATCTTCTATGGGCATAAAATCGATTTAATCATTGTCACTTATATCACTTTCACTATCGTCATCACCATAACACAAGGAAAATGATCATTTCCTCTTGCGGAGTTGCCTTTGGGTAGTAACACTAGCAACCCCAGAGATACTTAGCTGAGGGTCTGGTATGGCCACACTGTCCATCCCAGATGTGATGGGCTGAGGGTCATCTGGGTTATCATCAACAGTTTCACTAATTCCTTGAACATTAGTGGCTATATCTGTGTCAAATTCACTACCATCATGTTCTGTTACACTTTCCGAGAATACCAGTGTTAATACACCAAGGCATGAGTGAATCACGGGGGTTTGCCATGATGTTAACTCGAGATGGAGCTGAAACTAACTGGTGCTACCATGCGGTGCCCCAGCATCAGCAAATTTTTTTCACCCTGCTCACACTTAGGGCGCAGACCCATTCTCTCGTGTCTAGGAGACTCAGTCCTATCGTGCCAAATTTGAAGGAATGAAAAATAAAACGTTGATCTACGTTCGGAGCGCTACGCATGCATACATAGATCTACGTTTGGACAGTTTAAGGATTAACAAACCTGAGGTAGGGTGACCTAAATGCAAAAACTAAAGTTTCTCTTTTAAAATTTAGTAATTTATACAGGAGAAGGGGTTACTAGTTCCTTGCCTCCTTCAGATTTATGTTTCTTATAAAAATAATACATTTCTCCTTTATTAAGGAAACATGGAAGACAATCTCTTCCCCTAAAATCTTTTCCATCTTTTACTGAATTTATCATGAAAAGGTCTTCTGAAAGCAAATAAGAAAAACTTTCTTAGTACACTGAGGACAACTCAGTGTAGTTTTGAGTACTTGTCTGGTTGTGGTTGCAAGGGTTGAATCTCAGCTCCTGGACTTGTAATATACTTGCCTAGTTGTTATTGCAGGGGTTGAGTCAGGGCTCCTACGTAACATGTTCTGCTATTTGTTCATGTTTATATTTTGTTGTATAAGGACATCATCTTCCACCAGACCTAAGTAATCTAATGGTCATGAACAAATTTGTTTATAATTGAAAGAAACAACTTACTCTTCAAATTTATTATATTTTTTTATTTGGCAGGAACCCAGAGCTCGCAAGCTGGATGCCAAAGCAGCGACGACGAGTTTGAGCCAGAGTATTTGTATAATGCTAGTACAGAACTGCTCATTCAAGCAATGCATAGTTATGCACATGCTGCTCAGTATTATATGCAGGTTAGCAAAAAAGGATGACAAATTATTAAAAAATAATTATAAGTGAAACTTCTTGAGGGATTTATTTTTAATATGTACACCTACCATCCAACTTACGGCCAAGCTTGGTTCCGACCAACCGGTCGTAAGCCAAAATGGACGTAAGTCGAACCTTTGAAAATTGCCGACATACATGTACTGGGTAGGGCATAATGTCAAACCTTTCCTATATAAACTACTTACATAGTACTGTAATGTAATGTACAATCATTATTTCATTCTTTTTACCATAATTTACTTCTATTGTTATATTTTAATTATTTATGTACTGTATATAATGTATACATGGTAGTGAACTGTATTGTAAATTTTAAATCACATACAGTATCATACGTTACTGTTATCTTTATGTATTGTAGACACAGTGGAATGGGAGAATACCACTGGTAGTGTCATCCTGCCAGAATGTAGTATAACCTATACCCTAAGTAAAGAGAAACAACTCTGGAACATGTGTAATACGTATCCGGCTGGCTGGCTGGGCGGCCGGGTGCGTGGGTGGGTGGTTGGTTGGCTAACTGACTGGCTGACTGAATGTGGCTGTCTCTTTCTCTCTCTCTTTCTCTCTCTCTTTCTCTCTCTCTCTCTCTCTTTCTCTCTCTCTTTCTCTCTCTCTTTCTCTCTCTTCTCTCTCTTTCTCTCTCTCTTTCTCTCTCTCTTTCTCTCTCTCTTTCTCTCTCTCTTTCTCTCTCTCTTTCTCTCTCTCTTTCTCTCTCTCTTTCTCCTCTCTCTCTCTCTTTCTCTCTCTCTTTCTCTCTCTTTCTCTCTCTCTCTTCTCTCTCTCTCTTTCCTCTCTCTCTCTTTCTCTCTCTCTTTCTTCTCTCTCTCTTTCTCTCTCCTCTCTCTCTCTCTCTCTCTCTCTCTCTCTCTCTTCTCTCTCCTCTCTCTCTCTCTCTTCTCTCTCTCTTTCTCTCTCTCTTCTCTCCTCTTCCTCTCTCTCTCTCTCTTCTCTCTCTTCTCTCTCTCTCTCTCTCTCTCCTCTCTCTCTCTCTCTCTCTCTCCTCTCCTCTCTCTCTCTTCTCTCCCCTCTCTCTCACCTTCACACACACAACACACACAAGTACACATAAGTGAAGTTATCATACATAGTATAAATTACCTAGGATAACCCCAAAAATCCAGACAAAGTGCTATACAGTGGATCTGTGCTCCAGTGCCCTAAATTAATAATAATAATAATAATAATAATTATTTTACACTAATACATATGTACTAATATTAATAATAATATTATTATTAAACTATAATACAATAATCGTGTCCACTCATTACTTACCTTAAAATAACTGTGGTCTTAATGTAGAGTGAATAAATGAAAAACGAGAGAAAGAGAGGGTAGAAGTTTCACGAGTTATGTAAACAAACGTTGTTGTTGTTACCAGCCCGGACACGAATGGTTTCTGTTCACTCTGTCAAGCCGACCAGAAAAACATCTCATATTTGTTAATTTATATGTTATGTAGCATGTTTATTATATAATTTTGAAAAAAAAATCATAGATGGATTAAGCAAAATATCTATATTAACTTTTTATACACATTTAATGCACCTCAGTGATTATTATTGTTATTATATCATTATTAATATGGTGTCTTCAAGACCAATTACACTCTTAATGAGTGGCTCTGAGACAGACAGGCAGACAGAAAGATGGACACACAGGTAGACAGAAAGACAGACACACAGAAAGACAGACACACAGCTAGACAGAAAGAGAGACACACAGGTAGACAGAAAGACAGACACACAGGTAGACAGAAAAACACACAGGTAGACAGAAAGACACACACAGGTAGACAGACACACACAGGTAGACAGAAAGACAGACACACAGGTAGACAGACACACAGATACAGACAGACACAGATATACAGGCAGACAGATACAGACAGGTTTATGTGCAACACTGAAAGCAAATAGAGAGTTCGAGAGTAAGAGCCTTTCTTGCCACAATCTCCAGTGCAAGATTCAGACTTCATCTTAGGGGCCATGGTGAAATTTACTGTCCAGTTAGTACAGTTAATACAGTATGATGCTGCTGATAGGGCAGGGTTACTCAAACTGATGCTGCATGCATGACGCATTGCCGCCGCGAGTATTGTCAAATATTGTACAGCGGTGTGCATCAGCCGGCCCAGCCCAGCTGCCAGATGCACGGTCGTAAGTCGAGTGGACGTATGTCGAGCAGGTCGTAAGTCGGATGGTAGGTGTATTTGCCATTACTGCAAGTGCTTGATATGCTTAAAACACTGTTTATTAGATTAACTAATTCCTTGTAAATATTTTTATTGCATATATTGTAACTTTGTGAACCAAATTGTTGTTTTTATTGTAATTATATTGACTGTGTAGTCCTGCTTGTTTCATGTATCAGTAATACGTACAGTACTTTATGTAGCATCATGGTTTGTTATTCTCAAGCATATATCAACTCAAGTTTAGAAATATAAGGAGAATAAATGTTGGTAAACTACTTAAATCAAAAGGGAAGAAATACATTAAAGTGGAGGAAAGAGAAAGACTGAAAGAGAAAGCTTAGGAAAGAGGAAGCTTAGGAAGGGGAGAAAAACCGGGAAGAAAAAAGAATGACCAGGAGAGGGTGGAGGAGGAAGGCTAGGAGAGGGAAGTGGAACAGGGAGAACTGGGAGAGAGTTGTCTGTAGTTGAAGATGTTTAGGAGTGATGGAATAATAATAGTAATTATAATAATAATAGTAATAATAATACAATAACAAAAGTCAGTAATAAAGTATAGAAACACTCTCATAATATTTACAATTTTGCAATGTATTGTATTATTAGTGGAATTTTATTTTTCAGTCTTTGCACCAATATTAACCCATTTGACTGTTGCAACCCCAAATCCTGAAGTGTCTCCTGGTGTCGAAAAATTTTTGGAAAAAAAATTATTTTTTCTTATAAAATGGTAGAGAATCTTTTCCTGATGGTAATGACACCAAAAGTATGAAATTTGATCGAAAACTTACGGAGTTACGCTCCTGTGAAGTTAGCGATCTCGGCAATATACAGTGGACCCCTGCTTAACGATCACCTCCCAATGCGACCAATTATGTAAGTATTTATGTAAGTGCGTTTGTACGTGTATGTTTGGGGGTCTGAAATGGGCTAATCTACTTTACAATATTCCTTATGGGAACAAATTCGGTCAGTACTGGCACCTGAACATGTACTTCTGGAATGAAAAAATATCGTTAACCGGGGGTCCACTGTATATGCATCGGCGATTTCGCCGTTTTCATTGTTACAATCGATGAAACTTTTAGCTATTTCTTTAGAACTCCATTTTTTCTATCAAATGAGTACAAGAAACCACCCATTTACCGATTTCAACTACCCAATAAAGTGGTCAGAAATTGGCAATTTGGCCAATTTCATGAAAATTAAAAAAGATGCCAATTTCAAAATAGGGTCCAGAATAAACAATGCAGACATTCTTGGCACTAAAATAACATATCCTCTGTCACGTCTCCAGGCATGTAGAGACATGTAGAGAGAATGGAGCGAAACAGAATGACTTCAAGAGTGTATCAGTCTGTAGTGGAAGGAAGGCGGGGTAGGGGTCGGCCTAGGAAGGGTTGGAGGGAGGGGGTAAAGGAGGTTTTGTGTGCGAGGGGCTTGGACTTCCAGCAGGCATGCGTGAGCGTGTTTGATAGGAGTGAATGGAGACAAATGGTTTTTAATACTTGACGTGCTGTTGGAGTGTGAGCAAAGTAACATTTATGAAGGGATTCAGGGAAACCGGCAGGCCGGACTTGAGTCCTGGAGATGGGAAGTACAGTGCCTGCACTCTGAAGGAGGGGTGTTAATGTTGCAGTTTAAAAACTGTAGTGTAAAGCACCCTTCTGGCAAGACAGTGATGGAGTGAATGATGGTGAAAGTTTTTCTTTTTCGGGCCACCCTGCCTTGGTGGGAATCGGCCAGTGTGATAATAAAAAAAAAAAAAAAAAAAATAGAAGATTTACTGTTATGAAGACTACTGCATTATTGTAAAAATGGTATAAATAATATCAGTGCACTAGTGAAAGAATATTAGATTCCCCAGTTGACGTGTATTGGACTTGTGGTGTGATTTGTTTACTCATGAACACTTGTAAAAATCAAACATTTCCGCTACTTTGAGCTCAATTTCACGGTCGTTTTCATCTTGAAACTAATCAAAATCATCTCCATTTCTGTAATATGTTTTCCATTCTATCAAATGAGACCAAGAAAACGAGAATACAACCATAAATACTATGGGAAAATACACCTCGAAGTCGGCATTTTAATCCAAAAACACGGTCAGAGCTTTTTTTCTCTCATGCACTGCGTGCTGCAGGATTTTATTTTATACGGTGCACACTGACCACACAGACCCATTCTCTCACATGTGGGCCTACCAGCTTTCTCCTGCTTGATTTAAAGCCACTAGAATTATTGAGTATATATACGTCCGAAACACTGGCTCGTAAGACGTATATATACGGCCAAAACAGTCGAAGGGTTAAGAAATTGCATTCTAACAGATGTTGACAGTGATATTATGTACTGTAATTTGTGAATATAATTAAGGTTTATTAATTAGCTCTAAAGGTTTGTTGCATGGGACTTGGTAGAATACAAAAATTTGAGGGACATATAACATTATTAAAAAGAATGGGTTTTTTTTATTATTATTTTTTTTTTTTTTATTTATTTATTAAAAAGAATGCAGTAATTTATTTTCTAATGAGTATGTAAATGTTACTAGACTGGGTCAACAGATTGTGACCTGTATATAGTAAAAAATCTCCTACCTGGTAATTGTGTACAATATTTCAAGATTATTTAGTAAAATTGTCATAATTTAGTTATATTAATTTTTATCTTGTTTTACTCTTAATTCTTGCTTTTTAATATACCATCAGGACCAACAACTGGCAACAGCTGTCAAGTACAGCTGTCAAGCAGAACTTGTGGCACTGCAGATGGCATATGTGAGAAGAAACCCTTACAGCTCATGTTTAAAGCTTCTCAAGCTGCCCCCCAAAGCAGTAAAATATGTCACTACAAGACTTCTAAGGTCAGGTTTAAAGTATAGTGGTACTAAATTTTCATTATAAGCTGCTCTTCATGAAATACATTATGACTTTCTCTTGGTTATCTGCTTTTTTCCGTGATTCATTTTGATATGATGATGATCAGAATCCAGTAACCATCTCATGGGTGTTTAATTACATAATCATTGCTTTTTTGGTTAGCACAACTGATGCTCTTTTAAGTTTGAAATACAGTTACTGTACTATTTTTTATTTTATTAACACATTGGTCATTTCCCACGAAGGCAGGCTGACTATACTATACTATGTATATCTTCCTCTTCTTTCAACAAACCGGCCGTATCCCACTGAAGCAGGGTGGCCCATAAAGAAAAACAAAAGTTTCTCTTTTAAATTTTAGTAATGTATACAGGAGAAGGGGTTACTAACCCAATGAAATTAAGACACATGTGCAACATCTGGGTATCTTTATTGTAGACGTTTCGCCATCCAGTGGCTTTATCAATACAAATTCTAGGACATAACTTGAAGACAGTAGGACTATATACAGAAGATGAGGTAATCAGTCCCTCAACCTAGGAGTTACTAACCCCTTGCTTCTGGCATGTTAGTCGCCTCTTATGACAAGCATGGCTTATGGAGGAAGAATTCTCTTTCACTTCCCCATGGAGGTAAGAAGAAATAAACAAGAACAAGAACTAGTAAGAAAATAGAAGAAAACCCAGAGGGGTGTGTATATATACGTATATGCTTGTACATGCATGTGTAGTGTGACCTAAATGTAACTAGAAATAGCAAGACGTACTTGAAACCTTGCATGTTTATGAGACAGAAACAAGACACCAGCAATCCTACCATCATGTAAAACAATTACATGTTTCCATTTCATACTCACTTGGCAGGACGGTAGTACCTCCCTGGGCAGTTGCTGTCTACCAACCTATTACCTAGGACTATGTATATATATATATAAAAATATCCTTGTACTTATCAGCCATGTACTATTAATTTTTGGAAGTGTGTTGGTCCTTGTAACCACTACTGTATATGAAATGCTATTGATGATATCCTAACAATACCTTAGTTTAAAAATTTATTTCTCATTGTCATCAGCTGTGTAATTACAAGTACATGTATACTCTTCATTGTTTCATAGTGTGTGCTTTATACTTTGTATAACTGACTGGGAAGAGCACTTTTTATAACTACATGGGTTCTAGTGTAATATTTCCAGACCTTAAAAATGTTTAGCAAGTTCTTTCTCACCTTATAGGGCCATTACACTTCATCATATAATAATTCACTCATTGACATTTTATGCACTTGTTAACCCTTTCAGGGTCTGTCGCATAGATCTACAGCTTTGAAGCCAGGGTCCAAGCTGTAGATCTATGCCAAAATTCTAGCAGCATCAAATTTAGAGCGAGAAGGCTGGTAGGCCTACATCTAAGAGAATGGGTCTGTGTGGTCAGTGTGCGCAGTAAACAAAAAATTTGGGCACCCACATTGCATTATGGGGATGCCATCTCAGTATCCTGTGTTCATCATGCTGGTGGCAAGGAAGCTCTCACTCCCCGGCAAATTCTGACTCTCCTCTTCCCAAGTTATAGTTCTAACACTGATGAAAGTGGATCTGAAGAGGAATTCTATGGTTTTGAACCATATGGTATATTGTACCATATGGTATAGTGGTACCATATGGTACAATGATACCATATGGTACAATGGTACAGTGGTACCATATGATACAATGGTACAGTGGTACCATATGATACAATGGTACAGTGGTACCATATGGTACAGGGACCCTAATGGAAATAAGTCACTTTGTCTGACTTTTTTGGGTTATCCTAGGTTCTCCATACATATGCTGCTATGTATGATAATCTATGTAATTGTATTTGTGTATACCTGAATAAACTTACTTACGATGCCACATGCACTCAAGTAAGTTTATTCAGGTATACACAAATACAATTAAACAGATTATCATACATAGCAGCATATAAGTAAAGATCCTAGGATAACCCAAAGTAGTCAGAGTGACTTATTTCCATTGGGGTCCCTGTATCTGTACCATATGGTACCCTATACCATATGCAGTTCCAAGGGGACCGAGTACATTCCATGGCCCTACACCTGGAATAGACTGAAAGTGACGATTATGTGGTTACAATTGGGATGGATACACCACATGCATCAGTAGGTGGTGGTGCCACCAGCATGTGTGTATGCAGCATGTGGCACCAGCCCAGACTGGGAGTGAATCTGGGACCCAAGCCGCTGACTCAGCAGTTCCAGGACAAAGCGCATCATCATCCACCATTGGAAGTAGACAACTGTGGCTGAAATGTATTTCTTGTTTGCAACAAAAATGCTTATGCTTCATGTCTATAAGCATAATATAAACTCATACTGGTCCACAGATGCGTATGACACCACTGTGCATGACACCTTGTTTCAAAGACTTTCACAGACTATAGCAGTTCAAGGAACATGTCCAGTGACTGTACATATGTAAATATATACAGTGGACCCCCGGTATTTGATATTAATCCGTTCCTGAGAGCTCATCGAATACCGATAATATCGAAAACCGAATCAATTTTCCTCATAAGAAATAATGGAAATCAAATTAATCCGTGCAAGACACCCAAAAGTATGAAAAAAAAAATTTTACTACATGAAATATTAAGTTTAATGCAATAGAATAATTACAATAACAATAAAATAATTGACACTTACCTTTAATGAAGATCTGATGATGATTGATGGGATGGGAGGAGGGGAGAGGTGTTAGTGTTTAGAAGGGGAATCCCCTTCCATTAGGACTTGAGGTAGCAAGTCCTTTTCTGGGGTTACTTCCCTTCTTCTTTTAATGCCACTAGGACCAGCTTGAGAGTCACTGGATTTCTTTCGCACAACATATCTGGCCATAGTGGCCTGTACCTCCCGTTCCTTTATAACATTCCTAAAGTGTTTCACAACATTGTTAGTGTAATAGTCACCAGCACGGCTTGCAATAGCTGTGTTAGGGTGATTGTCATCAAAAAAGGTTTGCACTTTAAGCCACATTGCACACATTTCCTTAATCTTTGAAGTAGGCAACTTCTTCAATTTCTCTATCCCCTCCTCCGAAGCAGTTTCCTCCAGTGTGGCCTCTTGCTGTTGAAGATGATCTCTCAGCTCATCAGTGGTTAGTTCTTCACTGTCCTCCTCCACCAACTCTTCCACATCTTCCCCACTAACCTCCAACCCCAAGGACTTCCCCAATGCCACAATGGATTCCTCAACTGGCATAGTATTCTCAGAGTTAGCCTCAAATCCTTCAAAATCCCTTTTGTCTACACATTCTGGCCACAGTTTTTTCCAAGCAGAGTTCAAGGTCCTCTTAGTCACTCCCTCTTAAGCCATACCTATAAGGTTTATACAAATGAGGATATTAAAGTGATCCTTCCAAAACTCTTTAGAGTCATTTGAGTTTCTGTGGTCACTATAAAGCACTTTTGAAACATAGCTTTTGTGTACAGTTTCTTGAAGTTGGAAATGACCTGCTGGTCCATGGGCTGCAGAAGAGGAGTGGTATTAGGAGGCAAAAACTTGACCTTAATGAAGCTCATATCCCCAGAAAGTCGCTCTGCCAAGTCTGTAGGATGACCAGGGGCATTGTCTAATACCAGGAGGCACTTAAGGTCTAATTTCTTTTCAGTTAGGTAATTTTTCACAGTGGGGGCAAATGCTTGGTGTAACTAGTTATAGAAAGAGTCCCTAGTGGCCCATGCCTTACTGTTTGCCCTCTACAGCACACACAAATTAGCCTTGAGGGCATTGTTTTTCCTGAACACTCTGGGAGTTTCAGTGATATACCAATAAAGGCTTCACTTTGCAATCACCACTAACATTGGCACACATGAGAAGAGTAAGCCTGTCTTTCATAGGCTTATGTCCTGGGAGTGCCTTTTCCTCCTGAGTAATGTAGATCCTGCTTGGCATTTTCTTCCAAAACAGGCCTGTTTCGTCGCAATTAAACACTTGTTCAGGTTTCAGTCCTTCACTGTCTATGTAATCCTCGAATTCCTTCACATATTTTTCAGCTGCTTTTTGGTCCGAACTGGCAGCCTCACCATACCTAATCACACTATGTATGCCACTGTGATTCTTAAATCTTTCAAACCAACCTTTGCTGGCCTTAAATTCATTCACATCACCACTAGTTGCAGGCAATTTCTTTACCAAATCGTCATGCAACTGCCTAGCCTTTTCACAAATGATCGCTTGAAAGATGCTATCTCCTGCTATCTGTTTTTCATTTATCCACACCAGTAACAATCTCTCAACATTTTCTAACACTTGCAGTCGCTGTTTCGTAATCACAGTTGCACCTTTTGCAAGAACAGCTTCCTTGATTGCCGTTTTCCTGGTAACTATAGTAGAGATGTTTGATTGGGGTTTATTATACAACCTGACCAGCTCTGACACACACACTCCACTTTCGTACTTTGCAATTATCTCTTTCTTCATTTCATAAGTCATTAGCGACTTTTTTCTCGAAGGGTTGGCACTAGAAGCTTTCTTGGGGCCCATGGTGACTTATTTTGCAGAAACAAGCACCAAACACAGTGATAATATGGAATGTACCGAATGTATCCTTAGATGCACGCACACTGGCTGGCTTGTAAACACTGGCACACACGGGGCAGTTCAGGCCACACGTGGACACGTCTCGTACGAATCGTATCAAATACCGGGTTTTCAATCGAATACCGAGGAAAATTTTTTGCGATATAATGCATCGAATACCGGATTTATCGAATACCGATGCCATCAAATACCGGGGGTCCACTGTAATAGAACATTACTAATATACAACATTTTTGCATGTTTTTTGCTGCAAACAGTTTTTGTAAACAAAATAATAATGAAAATATTAGTGCAGTTATTGTGTTGAATACAACGAGTGTACATATATACATTATGCATGATATGGGTCTCACAGGCCACAAACATTACTGGGAAAAAAAAATTAGAAAAGAAAAGAAAAAAGGAACAAAACAGTAAAATAAAAAAATGCGACTTTATGGAAGTTGCTGCCACCCAGTCATTGATAGTCAACTTCATGCCTCTATATCTTGGAAACTACTGATCGGAATTTGTTTTTGTTTTATTACCTATTGAAAAATATTATCTTTAATTCTGTAAGAATTTTTTTTTTTTTTCTTCAAAAGTTCTTGGACCCTGGCTGTCACTCTGAGATTTGGCCTCTGGACCCTGAAAGGGTTAATCACTAGCTGCCCATACTAGGATTACTCAACAATCTTCCTCAAGTATGTGTTAAACATTGCAGTGTATGTGAAGCTCAACTAGTGGGACGTGCCTATAACTTCACTGTGGACTGGGGAGCAGCCCTCTACCAACAGTATGTTAATAAGGGTGATGAGTCGTACCTTACTGAATATCTGGCTACATTTAGGCTTTTCCCTGAAGTTATGCTCGATGTAGTAAAGAAGTAAGTACAGTTTGATAATTATTTGAACCATATCTATATTTTATATGAAATATATTTTTTTTTGTATATGTGTTTGTTTTCTCCTGAAAGAAAGATAAAATGTAAGGCATTCTTAGTATCTTTAATTTATCATAGTTGATGCAGTAAATCGGTTTCATTTAAAAATTTATAGAATCTTCATAAAAGTTTGGACTCTCTTGAGAGGAGAGCAGATAGAGTAAATATGTCCAACTGTTGGAGTGATTAAAATGAAGTCAGTGAATTCTCTGATGAATTGGATAATCTGCAGTAACCCTTTCAGGGTCCATGCCGTAGATCTACGGCTTTACGTTCAGGGTCCGAACCGTAGATCTGCGCCATGAGCTCAGCTCACTCTGATAAACTGTGAGCAGTAAATTTGGGCCTAGATATGAGAGAATACATCTATGTTGTATGTGTGCACCACATAAAACAAATCCTGCAGCAAACAGTGCATAATGAGAGAAAAAAACTGAGACTGTAATTTTCGATTAAAACAGCGACTTTGCAATGTTTTTTCGTATGTTTTTGTAGTTGTATTTGCAATTTCTTGGTCTCATTTGATAGAATGGAAGATATACTACAGAAAGAGAGATGATTTTTATTGGTTTTACTACTGGAAATGGCTTGAAACTGAGCTCAAAGTAGTAGAAATATTAAATTTTTGCCGATGTTCAAGAGTAAACAAATGACCTCACAAGTCTAATACATGACAGCTGGTGGGTCTAATATACATTCATAAATGTGGTGATATTATTTATACAATTATTACAGTATTGCATAACAGTAAATCTTCTATTTTTTGGTTTGAATAAAAATTCATTATGTGAATAAAAAATCAAAATGGAATTCATTTGTAAAGCCTGAAAACATAACTAATGAACAGAGGAAATGTTAGTTTAGTGCCAGGAATGCCTGCATTGTTTATTCTGGACCCTATTTTGAAATTTGAATATTTTGGACTTTGCGTTAATTTGGCCAAATTACCAATTTCCGGTCACTTTATTTTGTTGTTGAAACAGTTGACTTGGTGATTTCTTGTGCTCAATTGATAGAGTAGAAGTAATACTAGTGAAATAGCTAAGAATTTGGCTGACTGGAATACTGTAATTGGCCTAAAATGGGAGTCAAAGTTGGCAAAATCGCCAATGCATAAATATCACTGACACATCAAAATACGCAAGAGCATAATTTCGTCAATTTTCCATCAAATTTCATAGTTTTTGTTTTATTACCTTCAGAAAAAGATTCTCTACCATTTCATGAGAAAAAATAACAAAATTATTTTTTGAAAATTCTTGGACCCTGGTGCACACTTTGAAATTTGGCCTCTGGACCCTGAAAAGGTTAAGTTGGTGGATAATCTGGCAGAAGAGTTATTCTTATTATACAGGAGGGCCCCGCATTACAGCACTTCACTTTACGGCATTTCACTAATACAGCAGTTTTCAGTTATACCCATTCCTCATTTATTCCAACTTCCTACAATAAATATATTCACCACTTACTATAAGCTAAAGATGAAATTATTTTAAGGTAAGTAATGTGTTTACTGTAGATGCATTTTTTAGGCCTGGCTCTATTGCTCACTTATACACAAGTGTAAACATATTATCAGTTTTTTTTTTTTTTTTTTTCTTTTTTTTTTTTAGACACATCAGCCATTTTCCACTAAGGCAGGCTGACCCAAAAAGACAGAAAAAAACAAAAAGAAAGAAAAATACTTTCATAATCATTCAACACTTTCACCATCACTCATACATAATCACTGTCTTTGCCGAGGCACTCAGATACGACAGTTTAGAAGTCCCTCCAAACTGCCAATATTCCAAACCCCTCCTTTAACCCTTTCAGGGTCCATCCTGTAGATCAACGGCTTTACGTTGAGTGTCCAAACCGTAGATCTACGCCAAAATTCTAGCACCGTCAAATTTAGCGCGAAAACACTCATAGGCCTACATGTGAGAGAACGGGTCTGCGTGGTGGGTGTGCACCATAAACAAAAAATCTAGGCGCCCGCATAGCATTGTGGGAACGCCGGCTCAGTTACCCTTGTTCACCATGCCTCGTCGCAAGTCAGCTCTCACTCCCCGGAAAATTGGGACTCTCCTCTTCCTATCTGATAGTTCTGACACTGATGGAAGTGGAAATGAAGACGAATTCTACGGCTTTGATCAGTTAGTGACCGAAAAGAATGACCAGGATATCAATAATAGTGCAGAAAACCCTGATGATCCTCAACCTTCTACCTCTGGTGTGGGCACTCGTGACTCACGGTCGGTTGTTCCTTATCGCAAGAGAAAACTAATATTTTTGCGTGGCCAGGCCTCTGACTTCAGTAATGATGATGATAGTGACGTGGACTGTGATTTTATTGCACTCGACGATCAATCGAGTAGTGATAGTGAGGAATCATATTCACCAGTGAAGCATCGGTATGTTCGCCGCCACATGCACTCGGGTAGTGTACCCTATGCTGTGCCCAGGGGACGGAGTACATCCTGGAGTACATCCCGGAGTACGTACATCCCGTGGCCCAACACCAGTTTTAGGTAGTGATAGTGAGGATGATGTGGCTACACTTGGCATGGATAGACCACAGGCATTAGTGGATGGTGTTTGTGGTGATGGTAGTGGCACCGCCATGCGTGACTCACCAGGCCACGCTGGGACCCACGCTGCTGACTCGTCAGTTCAAGGACAAAGCGGAGCGCCAGCCACCAGCCCACCACAACCACAACCACCTGCACAACCAGCCTATGATGTCCAGTATCCACCAGCAAACCGTATGTGGGATTGGCAGCAAAATCCCAATTTTGTTCCAAGCCTCACCACTTTGATGATTCTCAAAGTGGAATTCTACCTACTTGTCCCCTTGGAACCACGGCCAATGAACTGGAATTCTTTGAATTATTCTTTGACCAGCCATTGATGGAAATTATTGTCAGGGAAAGTAATAAGTATTTTGAGTACACCATGGCAAATACGATCTTATCACCACAGTCAAGACTACACAGGTGGAAAGAGACGACTGTTGCAGAAATGTATTTGCTTTTTGCAACAATAATGCTTATGCCTCACGTCTATAAGCATATATATAAAAGCATACTGGTCCAACAGAATCGGCTAATTTCTACCCCGGTCTTCAGTGAAATCATACCAGTGAACAGGTTTATCTTACTCTTTACGTATGTTGCACTTCTCTGACAAAACCAGGCCTGACAGAAGTGACAGGTTATACAAGATTAGAAATGTTTTCATGTATCTCAAACAAAAGTTCAGCATATACTTTTATCCATTCAAGAATCTTGTAATTGACGAGTCTTTGATTTTGTTCAAAGGTAGACTGTCATTCAAGCAGTATATACCGAGCAAGAGGAAACGCTTTGGTATAAAACTGTTTGTACTCTGTGATTGTGACAGTGGCCTAGTGTTGGATATTGTTGTATACACGGGTAGTAAAACATTGAAAGATACCAAGATGTTATTGGGTATCTCAGGTGACGTAGTGAGAAACATGATGGCACCTTATCTTGGTAAGGGGCATACATTATATACTGATAACTGGTACACAAGCCCATTATTCAGTGATTTCATGCGAGTGAACAAGACAGATGTGTGTGGCACAGTGCGTTCTAATCGTAAACATATGCCCAGGCTCAACGCAGGTGCTCGTGGTGATGACATGCAGGTGTTTACTGCCAATGACATCATGGCATTACAGTGGCATGACAAACGAGATGTCACATTGTTGACAACCATTCACCGTAATGAAATGCAAGACAGTGGCAAAGTTGATCGAGTGACTAATGAACGTATTCGAAAACCAGTGTCAGTGATTGATTATACACAAAACATGCGCTTGGTTGACAAGTGTGACATGCAGATTGGTTTTGTTGACTGTGTTCGTAAGAGTTACAAGTGGTACATGAAACTTTTCTTCCATCTCATGGACATTTCAATGCTCAATGCATATAATATGTACCCAAATAAAGATGGCAACAGGCCACGTATGGTGAATTTTGCTTGTCTGTTGTCAGACAACTCATAATGAAGTACCAGGTAACAACACCTGCTATACAACATGGTCATCGAATTCCTCAGGATATACCCAAGCGTTTGAGGAGAGAAGGTGATCATTTCATAATACAGCTTCCTTCAACTCGGAAGAAATTTGCTCAGAAGAGATGCATTGTCTGTGTACAAACAAAACGACGGCAACAAAGATGCAAAGACACTCGGTTTAAGTGTGAGGAATGTAAGGTGCCTCTGTGCATGGTGCCTTGTTTCAAGGAGTTCCACAAGCTCCAGCAGTTTTAAAACCATGTCCAGTGATTGTAAATATGTAAATATATGATAGAACATTAGTATTATATAATATTTGTGCATGTTTATTGTAATAAACAACAGTGGTAAACAATAATATGATAATAACTTTAGTGCGGTTATTGTGTCCAATACAGTGAGTTTATATATATACATTATATACAGTATTGGTCTCTCAGGCCCAAATGTTAGTAGGAATAGAAAAAAATTGGAAAAGGAAAAGAAAAAACACTAAAACCACAAAGATATGTAATGCGCGCGTATGCGGAATTCGTCGATGTTGCCGCCACACATCATTTTTGTACAACTTTGCACATGGTATCTCGGTAAGTACTGATCAGATTTTTTTTTGCATTTACCTTCACAAAAAAAAACATATTTGCTCTTTTATTCTGTAAGAAAAAAATAATTTTTTTTCTTTTTTCAAAATTTCTTGGACAATGGAGCACCACTTAGATTTTGGCCTTGGAGACCCTGAAAGTCTTTAAAAGTCCAGGCCATTGTACTTCCCATTTCCAGTCACAGCTAACCGGATTTCCCTCATAACAACCCTCCTTGACTAATTACTTTTAGTAACTCAACACCACTAAATTTCCCACTCCGAATTATCTGCATAATTTTATTACCCCACATTGCCTTAGACATCGTGACATCTC